CTCCTTTGCAAAGCCTTTATTACCACTTCTTTGGTTTACTTCAATAGATACTCCATATTAAAAAAAATCAGTGTGAATTTTTTAAAGAGAAAAATGAACTTAGGGCAGGGCAGGGACGGAGGAAAATGTGCAACTATGAATGAATGAATGGAAATCCAAGTTTTCTGTAAACTTTCATTAAAATCACAATAAAAAATTATTTAAAAAATGAGAAAACGCACATATGTACCTTGAGCCCCCAGTTTTACATAGTTTATTACCAAAGAGGTGCAGACCAGAGTCTCTGTCTTCATACCAAAGCCTCATTCCGACCACACTCCACTGAGCACATCTGTCTGTAGGCTTCACACATGTTCAGCTTTCATGAAGGAGCCACTTTGTTACAAGAAAATGGAAACCTAGAAAAGTGACTACATTACTGATGCATCTGATTATTAATCTTTTTAGAAGCTTGAGAGGAAGCTTTGGGATTAGAGACCTTGGCAGAGTCTCAGGGGCTGAGGAGAATCATTCCTGTGCAGCTGTCTTCACTTTCAGATTTGTCATCAATTCTATGGGAGCAAATGTGTCAGTAATCCGGGAAGGTTTATTTAATATTGCTCTCTGTTGATTTTATAACCAACTGCTGACTGCTTAGGATATAAAACTCATGATGATTTACAAGTAGTAAGTGGACAAGAAATCCATAAATCACATGCTTTAAGAGTATAGGTAAATACACACACACACACATTTAGACATGTCCACTATCAAGGGCACAGCTGTGGGCACATCCAAAAAAATAGGTAAATTTTTAATTCAAGGAAAATTGAGAACACAGTGGTAGGAGGAACAAAATAAGTAACATCTAAGAGGTAAATCATCTCACTGGGTAACATTTTAACATAGACTAAAAGGTTTGCTTCTGAAAGGAGAGTCTGGCTCCCACTTGGGAAACGTTCAAAGAAATTTTGATGGTCTCTTAAGGAAAGACATTTTTCTTTCTTTCTAAAAATCTTTAAGCCAAAGAATGCAGAAAGTTGGGAAACTTTTCTAATACTCTCAAAACTGTTGTGCAACAAAAACTTCTCAACTAAACACTCATGAAAATATTTCTTTTTCTTTGAATGTGTTATTCCCCCAGCCCTGGGCACATTCATAGGGTCAGTAAGAGTCATATGCGACTTGACAGCACCTAACAACAAAACAAGGCATAACTCGGAATCTTTCTAATAATGTGCTAAAAAGAAAGGGGGAACAAGTTTGACTGTGTGTATCATGACAAGTTGTGGCCAACATTAGAAGAACGGGAATCCCAGAACACCTTATTGTGCTCATATGAAACCTATACTTGGATAAGGAAGCAGTCATCAGAACAGAATAAGGAAACATTACATGGGTGAAAATCAGAAAAAAGAGTGTATCAGGGATGCATCCTATCTCCATACCTTTTCAGTTTCTGTGCAGAACAGATTGTTCGGGAGACTGGTCTTTATGAGGAGAAATGTGGCATCAAGATAGGAGGAAGACTCATCAACAACCTGCATTATGCAGATGACACAACTTTGCTCAAACTGAGGAGGGCCTGAAGCATCTTCTGCCAAAGGTCAAGGACTGTAGTCTTCAACATGGATTGAGGCTCAACTTCAAGAAGACAAAAAATCCTCACCACTTGTCCAATAGGCAGCCCATGATAGATGGAGAAGAGATTGAAATTATTAACAATTTTGACTTGCTCAGATTCATAATCAACACTCTTGGCACCAGCATTCAGGAAATCAAAAGACAAATTTCACTGGGAAAATCTGCTGTCAAGGACCTTTCCAGCGTACTAAAGAGCAACAATGTCAGTCTAGAGACTGAATCCAGGCCATAGTTTTTGCAAATACTCGCTGTACATTAGATTATTAAACAATGAGTAAGGGTGCTAGAAGAAGAATTGATGCCTTTGAGTTGTGGTGCTAGAGAGAAGAATATTGAACATACCATGGACGGCCAGGAAAGCAAACAGGTTAGTCTTAGGATAAAACCAAGTTTCTCCTTGGAGACAAGGAGTTTGAAGCTCCATCTCACATACTTTGGGCACGTGAACAGGAGGGACTGGTCCTGGGAGAAGGACATCATGCTTGGATGGGTAGAGGGACAGCAGAGAGGAGAAGAAGGCCCTTGATGGGATAGATTGACACAATAACTGGGGAACTGAGGGCAGATATGTTAGAGACAATGAGATCAGCTCAGGATAGGACAGGATCTTGCATAGGGTTAAAATTACAAAAAAAGAAAAGGCATGTTGCATTGGGAAAACCTGCTGCCAAGAGCCTCTTTTAAGCACAAAGAGATCAACTTAAACACTTAGGTGATGATCTTTTTCAATTGCTTCTGTAATGCAGCTGAAAATTGGACAATGAATGAGTATGACAGAAGAAGAATTGATGCCTTTTAAATGTGGTGTCGGGATATTAAATATCCCACAGACTGCCAAAAGAGCAAACAAGTCCATCTTGGAGGAAGTGTAATCGGAGTGCTCCTTAGAGACAAGGATGGTGAAAGATCAACTCACGTACTTGGAGCGTAGTGTCAGGAGCCCTTGGAAAAATACAGCGTACTGAGAAAGGTCAAGGGTCAGGGAAGGTGAGGAGGACCCTCAACGAGATATACCAACACTGCAAATGCAATGAGGGCCTCCTGTGTGTCAGAGAATGAGGCAATGGTGCAGAATAAGGCGACTTTCAGATCTGTTGTTCATAGGATCACTATGAATTGTAGTCCACTGGAAGGTGCCTACTAACAACAATAATCATGGGTGAGAACAGTCATTTGCTATCTATTTGAAAAGTGTTTTCGTTCCTTCACCTTTGCCATTCAGTAGAAATAGGGGTATGCGGGAGGATTCTGATGAGGTGCTCTGGTGGCTGCTGGGTGGTGAGATAGTCTCCATACTTGGGGGCTTGTTGGAGCAGTGCCCTGTGTGATGAGCAGGGACAGCTCGGAGAGCAGCGCAGAAACCGCCGTGGTCTACAGGGAACCTCTCTTCTCCTGGTTAGGCTCAAAGTTCCTCCCCATGTCCTTGCTAGCCGTCCACTAGGAGGAGCTTGTTTAGGGAGAAACACCAGCCACTCAGCAGGGTCCAGCCTCATGCAATCCTACTCCACTGGCCTTACAGTAAACAAGGCCCAGGAATTCCCAGGTCAGAAGCTGAAAGCAGATAGCTGAGGCTCAGCTCTTCACAAACAAAAGGTTTCATTTTTATGTTGTACTAAAAAAAAAAAAAAGTAGAGAGAACCAGTTTTGTAGATTCACTTGGTGAATCTGAAATGCAGGCCTGTGTCTGGCTAAGTGGGGCAGATGAGAAGCACAATCAGAGTCTCTGGGAAGGGAGGGAAAGAAAGGCACTCATAGATCCCACAACTGCTCAGACCCGCATTGCCCCAAGGTGGGGAAGACAGCGTTTTTCCCCTTGGTGTCTAAGCCCTAAAGGAGTAATCCTTTTCCTCGCCCATCCAGATCATCAGCTGTTACTCTCTCCAGCAATAGCCCAGATCAAATCAGCACACCAATGTTTTCAGATGATGTTTCATTATTAACTAGTAAGGATTTCCCCAGCTTGGCAATAGTCAGTCGTGTCCCTATCACCAAGTAACCTTTCCAGAACTTATGGCCTTTCTTTCAGACTCCAGTATTTTCAAGGATAAATTGAACATCAGTTTCCAAACCAAACCAAGTCACCATCAACTTCTGTCATCACACACAGAGATGAATTCTCATGTGAAAAGGTTTTCCTTAAGATTCAACACAAATCACAATATTTTCGAAGACTTATTTTAACCATGTCCTTGGAAAACTAAAGGCTTTCAACAACAACAACAAAAATAAAATACAAATATGGTCCCAAAACTTCGAAGAACTACTAGATTCTAGCCTCTTTTGGGTTGAAAGCCATCCTTAGTAGCTTAATATTTTCCTTTAGAATCTGTGGTGTGTAACGATCTCTTCTTAAACAGATCTATTCTGGATGTTTATCTGAAAATTCAGATTTAGGGAGATTAAGGACACTGTTGGATGTCTCAGTGAAGGATTTTGTTTCTGGTTTTTGCTATTATCAAAACAGTGACCCTCTCCACCTACCCTCTCCACCAAGGAATCCTCCAAGGTCTTAGAATGACAGTTTTGCTCTTGTTAGTCCTGATTTCCTCAGTGAGACATGGCAGTTATACCCTGTTTAATTCAACAGGACTCACCTAGAGGTGCATAGGGAATTTCCTGAGTGCTGGGGGATACCTGGCTCCCTGCACTCATGACCAGCACAGATCCAACAAGGGTGGATCAAGAGCCTGGCCAGGTACATCATACACCCAGTTTCAACCTTGCATGTGACCCAGTGACCACTCACATGAATTTGTTCATACCATTGTCCTAGCATTTTTTTTTTTATTTGATGTGGTCTAGCCAGCTATACTATACTAGCAGGAGACATTGTTTTATTTGTTTTTATATATATTTATTTCTTCATTATTGCCCTTATTATAGAGTCCTCAAGGGACACTGGATGGCAGCTGAGTCACTGGGAATATGCACGCTCCCTTTGGCCTGGTGGAGGAGCGAGAAAGCACCAGCTGAGCTTAGTTTTGCCTCTCAGTTTCCTATCACCCCACCTTCCCCACTGTGGGAACCCGTGGCGTCTCAGGAAAGTTATCTTGCCCTTGGCACTGAGACCCCAGTGACTTCCTGCTAGGAAGGGGCGAGTGGACAAACGGGTGACATTCCTACACTTGAACTTTACTCAGGGGATTTCTTACATTATTGAATATTAGACACAGTACTGAAAGGGACTTTCCCCAGCCTGGCTTAATATCTCTTAAGCTGAGTCATTTTACTTTCTACTTCCCTGGCCCCCACCCCTAGTACTTGAGTGGTGTCTGCGGGAGTGACTCCGCTGTCCGTCTTCTGAAGGTCACGGCACAGAACAGCTCAGTTGTCGGGTAACGATGACTACAAGGCCTGCTGCCTTTGCCTTTCTGTCTCTAGCGAGGGACTGAGTATATTTCCTCATAGGGGGGAGGAGAGAAGCAGGCACAGGTCTCGTCTTCCAGCTGTGTCTCTTCTAGCTGCTCTGCATAAGGGCTTGTCCTAGGACGTCAACAGAAAACACAGATGCATGACAATCTCCAGGGCCACTCACACACTTGGTGCCACCATTCTGGTCTCAGAGACCTACACGCCCCATCCCCATCACCTTCCTTACCAACACAGTGAGAACTAATGCAGCTAGAACGGGGGCACCTTCCAACACACACTCCATACCTGTCATTCCCACCATCCACGTAAGAAGCGTAATTCTCATCAACAAATGCGGTGTTGTCCTGAGGGTAGATGGTGTAGTACTGTGGAGGATTTGGCGTGCCAGCCCCTGGCCCTCCAGGAGGAATAAGACCACATGGGTTGACCACTGGGTGCAGATAGGCGGCATTCATCCCGATGGGCTCCTGAGAACCGTATGGAGGTGGGATATACTGGACCACGGTAGCCCCATGGAAGGTGATGGGTTGGTTGATGCCGGTGAAAACAAACGATTGTCCACTTGGTGTCTGTTCCAAGTCCAGGCCCCTTTCCTCAGTTTCCTTGCACAACTGACAGGAGAGCATTTTGAATTTGCACACAGCAATCAGGATAAAGGTGACCCCAACTGACAGCAGGATGGGCCCCAGGAGCTGGGTCCATTCAAAGTGGGAGACGCCTTGGTATTTGATCCAGCCCATGATGGTGAAGGTGATCCCCACGAGTCCCAGGAAGATGCCGGAGAAGAGCAGGGTGGCCCCTGCCTTGTCATCATCGGACACCTGCATGTCAGCAGTGCTGGGGGTGTAGGGGGTGACCGAGAACACGTTGAGAGGGAAGTCCTCAACGTGGCTGGCACCTCGCTCCATGGTTCCACGTCAACTGTCTGCTTGTGAGAAGCCAGCGGACTGAGAGCACCACGGAGCAGCAGAGGAAAGGAGCCCAGGTTAGTTATAGAAGAACTTTGGGTTCCTGTGGTTAACAGGGTATAACACACAGAGGGCTGAACTTTGCTTAGCAGAATAAAGGTCTGAGAAGTGAAGCCTGACATTTCCTTGCATATTGTCAACAGTCAGAGGTATCTGTTTTGCAGTTCAGGAAGAAGCTACACTTCTTGGATTCACTATTATTCATTAAAAAAAAAATTCTTACACCTCTCTTTTGACTTTCCAGTACCAGTGCTGACCTTCTGTGTCAGGGTCTCACTGCTCTCCTTAAGATTAAGTGGTTGTGACCTTTCAGGAGCAGATCACCAGGCACCTCTGGGTGGGTCCAAACAAGCAATCTTTTCGCTTCATAGCCAAGCTCTGAATCATTTACTTCACCATTTGTGTCATTCAGTGTCCTGGTTTCCTCTATCAGAATCAGATTTTTAGAAAGGACAAAGTGAAGACAAGATGTCTCTTCAGGAACTTCAGAGTGAGCCCTCCTCAGCTCCAAGTCTCCACTGTGTGTCAGGAGCTAGTCTGAGATCTTGGCTCATTAGAGAGAGGCAGACACACGTTTCTTCACTATGTGTGTATTCCTTCTCCCTTCAGGAATTTCTGGACATGGTAATAATTAAAGTTAATAATCAATTCTCACAAAGTTCTATGGCTTTTTTTTTTTTTGTCAAAAGACTATGTGCTTTATTACTCCATTTATATAAAGTTCAAAACTTTCTTTTATTCAAGGAGAAAAGAGATGTAACAGAAAGACTCCTGGGATACAGGTGTTATCAGATGTGAGTCTGCTTTTCTGCACTTTACACATTTAGTTCTTTAACAAAAATTTATTAAGAAGTAAGTGGGAGAGGGGAGGTGTGAGGGACATTGCAGAGTTTGAACTTTATCCTGTGTGGAGTCATTGAGGTTTTTAAGGAGAGTGATGTGCTGCTGTCTGAAATTGCATGTAGTGTGAACTGGACAAGGGATTCGAAGGAATACCAGTTACTGGCTCTGTGGTTTTATTCTTTCCTGGCTCGTCCCAGGTACCTTTTGCTTCCAGCATTTGAGCATGGGGGCAGATTCCTGCTGTGGACCAGGAAAGGAGCTCAGCAAACCTTCACATGCACCAGGTCACTTACAGAGGTTGAAGAAGCCTCACCTGGACACATGCAGCAGCCCTTGCTCAATGGTGGCTCCATAGCAAAATACACAGCTGCAGTCCCCACCCTGGAGCGGATGTAGGGAAGATGGCTTCTTCTGCAAAACCACTGCCTGTAGCTCATGAGCTACAGAACTTCAAACACAATTTTCCTACTCCCTGAAATTGAAACTCTAGGCTTCCCCTCCATATTTCAAGTAGGGACGTCCATCTCTTTGGGGAAGTAACTTTCTAATCAATTTATCTTTTACTGCTGACCCTCTAGAAGGTTTTCAGAGGCTGTAAATCACACAGGAGGAGGTTGCCCTTCTTCCTTCTGAAGAGGAGCTAGTAAATTTGAACCACTTGCCTTTGGATTGGCAGCACAGCTCCCTACCCACCTTAACCTTCTCTAGTTGAATTTTTCGTGGTTGCTGTGATGCTGAACACTGTGACACTCATGTGTCAAATGAGACAATGGTATCCTATGGTGGACAGTGTTGAGTGGAGCTTCCCAATTAAAACAGGCTTGGAAGCAGGAGTGGCATCCTCTTCTGAAATAGCTTGCCTCTGGAAACCTTATGAACTTGGAGAAAGGATGAAAGTTATACAAGTGTCCAGGTCTTTCATTCATAGGGTCACTATGAGTCACCTATGACTCAATGGCACTTAACAACAACAATCAGGTTTTATCTGGATAGGTAACTGTCCTTGGTGGTTAAACAACCCATCGGTGCAGATTCCTTCCACCATTCAGCAAATGATTCAGGAGAAGAGCTGTCCCTTATCTCTAAGTCAAGGAGTTTCAAAAAATCCTGATGATAACAACGTGCTGGGCCTGCCTTTCTCTCTCCTTCCCCTTCTCTCTCTTTCTTTCTTTTTTTCTTTTCTTTTCTTTCTTTCTTTCTTTCTTCTTTCTTTCTTTCTTTCTTTCTTTCTTTCTTTCTTTCTTTCTTTCTTTCTTTCTTTCTTTCTTACCTTGTGAGAAGTTTATAGGTGCAAAATACCTGTCATTTCCACATCCTTCCCGTGTAAGCTTAAGTTCATCATGTTGCCTAGTCATCACCATTCACAATCCCCAAAGTTTCCATTGTCCTTAATGGAAACACAATGTCCCCTATAGTTATCATGGTTCCAAACTCAGATCAACTGAGCCAAAATCTCCCAGTGAAAGGGTTAATAAATTCCCCAGATGACCCTTCACCAAAGAATCTTTGTATATCCTGCCCCATATTAATCCCAAGTGCCTCTAGGTGACCAAGAAACTGTCAACCCATCAAAAGACTTCTCCCAACAACAGACGGGACAAAGCTGTTCATCTCTGAAGTCATTGCCAAACATACGGACATACAGGCAGCTGACACCCTCGGGTGTCCTCCCAAATGTGGCCTGGAGCACAAGGTAAGAGACAAACTGAGATCAACATTCTCCTACCTAACGGTAGGAGCAGGGTATGACTCCTTCCTTTACTAGAAACATTCCAGTAAGCTAACGTGACCGACATTTTCAGTCACTAGAAGCCTAAAAAGACAAGCCTAGTGGGCTTCCTGAGAGTTGGGACTGACTTAATGGCAAATTCAAACAAACAGCCTGACTTCCCCTACCCCCTCTCCAAGGTTTTTGCTCCTTGGAATTGAGATGGGAAGGAGGAATGTTATTTGCACAAAACTTTCTTCTGAATGCTTTCCATTTGTTTTTGGCTACCCAGGACAAGGTAAGGCTCAGATCTGCTGTTCATAGAGGTGCTGTGAGTTGTAGTAGATTAATGAACTCTAACAACAATAACAACACCCCCCTGGGTGCACTGACCGAGGTGAAGAAGGAGACTGTCTTGCTGTCAGTAATTCATAAGCACAAAACCTGTGTCATCTTCAGAACCGTAAAGTCAGGGAATTCTCCACTTATATTTAAATTATCACCTTCACTCCACCTCTGCCTGAAAAAGCTCAAAGTCTGTATATGGTAAAAAGTGTTTTTCTTTATGTCTTTTCTTAAAAACTAGTTTTTCTTCTGCATGTACTTTATGTCAAGCACATTTCTAGATACAGAATGTTGTTAGGTACCGTTGAGTTGGAACCGACCCATAGCTGACACAATGGCGGGTTTTCAGAGGCAGTTAATCACACAGGAGGAGATTGCCCATCCTTCAGCTGGTGGCCTCAAACCACATGCCTTTGGAATTTCAGCGCAGCTTTTTGTAGCTAGGCCATCAGATCTCAGATATGTAATATCCATGGTATTATTTCATCTTCCTAAGAACCAAGAATTGAATCAAGTTGTTATGTGCCATCAAGTCAACTATGACTCATAGTGAACCTATGAACAATGGTGAACTTGACCCTGTCCTGAGCCAATTTCACCATCTCTGACAAATCTGCCCCCATTTCCATACTCACTGTGTCAACCCATCTTTTCTGGGGTCTTCCTCTCCTAGACCGACTCTTCACTCTTCCAAACATGATGCCCTTCTTCAAGGACTGGCCCCTCCTGGCAACATACCCAGAGCATGTAAGGCAGAGCTTCAAAATCCTTGCCCTCAAGGAGCATTCTGGTTTCACCCTCTCAAGGAATTGTTTGTTGTCCTGTCAGACCATGGTGTATATTCATTGCTCATCTCCTGCACCACAACTCAAAGGTGATGAAGGCATATCTTTTTATATAGGGAAAACATCCTTTACATTGTGTCAGGGCTATTGAATCACAAGCTAGTCCCCTTACACCAGATCATGGGCAATTACAGCATTACATGATTACATAACTGCCAAATCACTAACAGTAAAGGCTTATTCGAGTTAACACTTACTTTGGGGTGGGGGGGTTGGGGGGCTGGGAGTTGGAGGGAGGATTAAATTAAATTCCCAAAATCACCTGTCTCATATTTGTCTATATCATAATAATTGATATTTATTGTTGTTATTATGTGCCATTGAGTCTCTTTTGACTTATAATGACACTATGTACAACAGCTCTGAACACTGCTCTATTCTGAACCAACCTTATTGTTTCTGACACATCTTCCCCATTTACCCCAGTCACTGAGTTAGTCCATCTCATCGAGGGTCTTCCTCTCTTGCGCTGTCCCTCCACCCTCCCAAGCATGATGTCTCTCTCCAAGGATTGGTCCCTCCTTGCAACATGTCCAAAGTATGTCAGACAGAGCTTCAGAATCCTTGCCTCCAAGGAGAAGCTTGGTTTCACTCTCTCCAGGATGAACTTGTTTGTTCTCCTAGCAGTCCATGGTATATTCAATACTCTTCTCCAGCACCACAACTCAAAGGCACCCATTCTCCTTCTATCATCCCTAGGCATTGTCCAGCTTCTGATACATAATTGTGAAGACCATAAAGATGCAAATTCCCAGGACTCCCAGAAAACTAGTAAATCAGAAACTATAATATAAGCTCCTTTGAGTGATGGTGCATGAAAATGGCTTGTAATGGGCTGCTAACTGGAAGGCTAGGAATTCCAATCTACCCAGAGGCCCTGCAGAAGACTTTCATTTTATTGCATAAGGGTACAGTCAATGGACACTCTGTGAACTACATGGGGCCACCTACTGTGGATTGGAATTGACTGGATGGGACTGGTCCTTTTGTTGTTGTTAAGTGATTCTTGAGCATACTGAAGAGTGGAAACCAATGCTAAGATGCTATTATAATGACAATAGAAACTTGAGAAATTCATACATTGTCTCAACAATTTTTCTCTATGATTGATATCTCAATACTTTAAGAACCAAAATTTCCGTTAAAGGAGTTCATTTTTATGCTACATTGATAGCTACAGCAGGGTGGTCACAGGGGAG